GGTGTTCTCTGAACTTGGTGGTTTTCTTGCAGATGTTTCATGACCCATCTAGGTAACATCATCAGTGCTAGAAGGAAGGGGGAGTTAAGAGAGGAGAAGGAGAAAGAGCGGGGAGTCCTTGGTGCCTCTGAACTTGTTTATTTGCAGATGTTTCATTACCCAACTAGGTAATGCCATCAATACTAAATAGGCAGTGGGGTGAGAAGAAGAGATTAGATTAGATTAGATTCAACTTTACTGTCATTGCCATGGATACAGGCAACAAAACGCAGTTAGCATCCAATCGAAAGTGCAAAACAACAGTGAAATATAAATATATGTATGCAAATATGCGAGGCATCTATGAATATGTCAGTGGAAAACGCAACAAAATGTATGCGCATGAGCACCCAAGGATAGGTGTGACTGCGCACATAGGAACATATACAACTGTGCAAAACGTTTATGGACACATTAAATATAAGTACAAACGCACAGAGAATTATACAAAATGCATCCTATATATTATCAAGGGAAGCATCAGCATATGTGTGAGGAGGAGAACTGTGGGGTCCTTGGTGCTCGCTGAGCTTGGTGGTTTTCTTGCAGATGTTTCATGACCCAACTAGGGAACATTATCAGTGCTAGAAGGAAGAGAGGGTTAAAAGAAGAGGAGGACGAGGAAGGGGCAGTGGTGTCCTTGATGCTCTCAGAACTTGTATTTTTACAGCTATTTCATTACCCAACTAGGTAATATCATCAGTGCTCGAAGGCAGTGGGGACAGAGGAGGAGTAAGATGGAAGGGAGGAAGATAAAAGGAGGAGGAGGAGGAGGAGGAGGAGGGGGAGAAGGGGGGAGGATAAAAGGGAGGAAGGGAAGGAGGTTGGTTGTGGGGTCCTTGGGCCTCTCTGAACTTGGCTGGTTTTCTTACAGACGTTTCATGACCCAGCTAGGGAACATCATCAGTGCTAGAAGAGAGAGTGGAGTACAGGGAGAAGGAGGAGGAGGAAGAAGATAAAAGGAGAAGAAGCAGCAGCAGGAGAAGGATGGAAGGGTAGAAGAGAAGAAGGAGATGGAGGAGGTGGAAGAGGAGGATGGAAGGGAGGAAAGGAAGGATAATTGTGGGGTCCTTGGTGCTCTCTGAACTTGGCTGGGGTTTTGGTTTTTTTTGAAGACTTTTCATTACCCAGGTGTGTAACACCATCAGTGCTGAGCATCAGTGCATGGCTGGCTGGGGAATTCTGGGAGTTGAAGTCCACCCATCTTAAAGTTGCAATAAATCTGACCCCACGGGGAGCTGTTTACAACATGGTTACGCTCCGGGTCCCGTCCACAAAACCCAGAGGTTGCTGTGTGCATGGATTGGGGCAAGCCGTTGGGGCAAATCTTTGTCGCTCCTGGGCACAGGATGATGGGTCCCACCCTGCAGGCCTTGGTTTTTTTAACCTTCCCACTTTTCTTGACCTCCCGCTTTCCCCAGAACATGAGATTCGAGCAGATTTATCTGGTACCGTCCGACCCACCAGATGCCTGCCATGCGTTGAACAACGGGGTCTTTATTGAAGGCCAGATCGCGCTGGTGGAACACGGGTGAGTTTTCTCCCACGCTCAGGCTTTTGCCTGTGGTTGGGCTGGTTTTCGGGCTCTGGGTTCAAATCTCAGCTCTGCTACCAACCTGGCTGGAAGATCCAGGATGCAGTTGATTTCAGGAAGAAGTCCTTTTCCTTCTCACCACCCCCAGATCTTCAGGGACCCTCTCAACAAGCAAGTAGCTGCTGGAAGGAAACTGTGCTGGATTTTAGGGTGACCACAAGATGTGGTCAAGAAATATCTAGGGAGGTTCTCAGAACCTCCAGGTCGTGGTTGTCCCAAAGGTGTTTTTTTTTATTTCAAGAGGCAACTGGACTTTTCTGGGTTTTCTTGGATGACGTTTCGCTTCTCCTTCAAGAAGCTTCTTCAGCTCTGACTGGATGGGGCAGAATGGAAGGATTTAGTAATCCTTGTAGACAGCTGGTCATTTGCATCCTTTTAGAAGGTCATTGAGGCCACTCGGAGGTTTACCTGTGTCCTCAAGGTCACCTGAATAGTGCAAATGGGTGTGGAGCCTTCTTGGGGCTGATGAAGGTCCATGTTGTAGACTGGAGATAGAGGATGTCATATCCCTCCCCATCTGTTGAGAGAGGGCTGTTCAATTTGGACCTAGATGACCTCTTTGAGCCCTTTTTTCAAACCAGAGGTCTTCTCTATCCAAAATCTGGACTTTGCCATCTTCAAAAGTGCAGCTTTTGTCTTTTAAATGCAGGTGGACTACTAACTCTCGCCCTGATGGCTTTGTTCTCCTATCTTGCGCCACACGTTTGTGAAGGGGGCTGTTTTGCTTCCCCGATGTACATGGCTCTCTGCACATGGCTCTCTGCGTTGTACTGCATGTATCCCATTGCTCAGTTTGTGTTCTGGGTGTTTTTGTCCTTGGGGTGGAGAAGTTTCTGCCCTAGTGTATTTTGGGGTGTGAAGTGTGCCCATGTGTTGTGTTGGCTGAAGATCCTTCCTGAGCAGCATAGAAAGTATCTCAACTTACCGCACCTGTGTAGGGTTTGCCAATTGCACAGAGGCAGATAGGACAGCGCTCCAGAGGGTACCAATTGGTGCCGCTGAACCTGAATGACTCACAAGCCCATAACGAGCAACTGGCTCCTTTTGCACACCTATTCAACAGGGGCGGGACTCATCTCCGGGGAGGGTGAGTCTGCCTACCGAGATGAGGAGGACCTCATGTGGTGTGGAGACAATAACTTGGTCCTCAACACCAAGAAGACCAAGGAGATGATAGTGGACTATATAGAAGGAACAGGTCAGACATCCAGCCCTTGCTTATCAGTGGAGACCGAGGGGAGCAAGTGGCCAGTTTGAAGTTTCTGGGTGTTACCCTAAAACAGGACCTGACCTGGGGGGCTCACATTGCAACCCTGGTCAAAAGGGCCCAGCAGAGATTAGACTACCTGAGACTTCTCAGGAAACAACAACTGGATAGAAAACTGCTGGTGACCTTCTACCGCTGCACCATAGAGAGTATCTTAATTTACTGCACCTCTGTATGGTTTGCCAATTGCACAGTGGCAGATAGGACAACGCTCCAGAGGGTTTAACGTCATTGCCCAGAAGATCCTGGGTTGTCCTCTCCCCTCTTTGGAAGAGCTTTATAGCTCCCGCTGCCTTACGAAAGTTCAAAACATCCTCAAAGATCCATCTAAACCTGGGCACCCCCTTTTTTTTAAACTATTACCATCTGGCAGACGGTACAGAATAATAATAAAAACAACAACAAAGACTGAAAAATAGCTTCTATCCCAGGACAGTAACACTATTGAATTCTACTGTATAGGGCAGTGATGGCGAACCTTTTTGTTGTGGTGTGCCAAAAGTGCGCTCATGCCGGCACCCACAATGCAATGCACCTTGACCCCCTGAACATGAGTGTGCAACACCACCCCTGCCCCCTTACCTGCACTGCACATGCGTGCGCCTCCCAGCTGATCTTCGGCCCGTTTGAGGCCTTTTTCGGCCTCTCAGAGGCTCGGGGGAAGCCTCTGCAACCTTTGGAGGCCGAAAAATGGGCCCGTATTTTGGCCTTTAAATACCGGAAATACCGGAAGTGATGAAACAGGCCTGCTTCCCTCGAGCCTCTGGGCGGCCAAAAAAGGCCTCAAACAGGCCTGAAAACCAGCCGAGAGGTGCATGCATGCACCGTGCAGGTAAATTTGGATGGGGCTTGCATGCCCACACAAATGGCTGTGTGTGCCACCTGTGGCACGTGTGCCCTAGGTTCGCCATCCCGGGTCTAGGGCAATATTAATGCAGTATCCGCGGTTTTCAATTCAGTGTGTGTTTAGTGTGACGGGTGTGTGTTTGCGTTTTATTTTCACGGTCGTGATGTGCGCTGGAGACGGTGTTTGGTTTCGTTGTACGAGGTGTGAGGACAAGAAAGTCAAACGAAACGAAACGGAGCTTTCGTGCTATTCCTGCAACGTAATGGAAGGGCGATGTTTGAAAGAGGGGTCGGAGGCCGTAAGGTCACAGCCAGGCAAGAAAGCGGGGTCAAAGATAGGTGCCACCTACTCCACATTAAAACTGAACGGTCCTCTCTACCCCAAAGGGTATGGATACAACGCCACACATCTCCTGTCTACAACACGGTCCTTTCAAACGTTCCAAGAAGGTCAATATGGACTTTATTGGGGGGGCTTTTTCACAGGGGCTGCTCCTTCCTCTCCAAGACTCGCACAATCCAGGAACACGGAGGCCGGGCGGTGATCATTGCAGACAATAGTTACAACAAGGATACTACGTACGTGGAGATGATGCAAGAAACTACCCAACGGAAGGCCGACATCCCTGCGCTTTTCCTTCTGGGGCGAGATGGGTGAGCAGCCAGGAATTACAGCTGAGCTTTTCTCCTCTCTCTGGTCTCTTGACCGTCAACCCCATCTGTACGGGTAGTCCTTGACTTACAACTGTTCTTTTAGCGACTGTTCAAAGCAGAGGTGGCATTCAGACGGTTCGGTAGCGGAAATGTTGAGTCGTTTTGGAGAAGCGGCCAATCCCACCTCTGACTGGCCCCGCCAACCCCCATCTCTTCTCTGCCTCTCGTTGAGAACCAGCTGACCGGCTTCTTTGGTTGCCCCGCCCAGGAGAAGGGAGCTGGAAAGCAGGCTAGTGAGGTGAGGGAGGGAAGGGGGATTTTGCAGTATATTCTTCCCCTGCCATGCCCACCAAGCCGCACCAGTCCCACCAAGCCATGCCCACAGATCCAGTAGTAAAAAAAGATTTGAATCCCACCACTGGTGTGGGTGCGCCATCCCTGGAGGTTTTTAAGAAGAAACTGGCCGGCCGTTGGTCTGAAATAGTATAGGTTTTCCTAATGGAGAAGCGGGCTGGACTAGAAGACCTCCAAAGTCCCTTCCATCCCATCCCATGAAACGGAGGAGGAGGAGGAGGAGGAAGAAAACTTTGGGCCCTTGGAGCTCTCTGAGCTTGGTAGTTTTCTTGCAGGCATTATATTACCAATCTAGGTAACATGATCTGAGCTACTGTAGTACAAACTAAACATCGAGAGAGAAAAAGGTCTCTTTATCCATTGCTGTCTTTGGCGTCACCAGAACCAAAGGTGATATTCAGCAGGTTCTGACCAGTTCTGGAGAACCAGTAGCAGAAATTTGGAGTGGTTCAGAGAACCAGCCCAAAACCACCTCTGACTGGCCCCGCCAACCCCCATCTCTTCTCTGCCTCCCATTGAGTCCCAGCTGATTGGCTGGGTCTCCTTTGCTTGCCCTGCACAGGAGAACGGAGCTGGAAAGCAGGTCAGTGGGTGGGGAGAAAAGTGGGATTTTGCAGTATATCCTTCCCCTGTCACACTGTTCTGACCCAAACCTTGTTCCAAGGAAACCAACACAAAACAGAGGTAACAGCAAAACCTTTTAATGATTCTTTACAAATTCCGTTCCTTCCCAGTTAATGTCACTGAGGGTTAATGTCGTTGCCCAGAGGATCCTGGGTTGCCCTCTCCCCTCTTTGGAAGAGCTTTAGAGCTCCCGCTGCCTTAAGAAAGCTCAAAACATCCTCAAAGATCCATCTCATCCTGGGCACCCCCTTTTTTTTTGAACTATTACCACCCGGCAGACGGTACAGAATAGTAAAAACAAGGACAAATAGGCTGAAAAACAGCTTCTATCCCAGGACAGTAGCTCTTTAGAATTCTACTATATTGTGCGGTGTTGGTGTGGTGTTGGGGGTTTCCGGTTCAATGTGTGGAGTGTGAAGGATGTGTGTGTTTATTTTCATGGTCATGATGTGCACTGAAGATGGTGCTTGATTTCGTTGTACGAGGTGCAATGACAATAAAGTAAACTTAAATTAGAAGGCTGTTTCAAACTAATGGTCTCTGATAAGAACGAGCCTTGCCGAGGTGGTGCAGGGCTGCCAAGAACACTAGATAAAGTTACCAAGAAATATTCCAAACACAAAGAGTCTCCAAACACCAACCAAGATGTTCCAAACGTCCACCAGGTTTGAATGCAAAAACGTCTTTGCTTCCTGCAAAGAGCTCCGGTTTCTCCGCTGGCTTTTATCTCTTAAGGGAGGGGCCATTATCTTGCAGCCTTACTCCCGAGTCACCCATGCTGTTGCAGCTGCTCTTTCCTTCAAGCAGCCCTGCACGCATGCGTACCGGGCACAGGCTCCTCGGGGGACTCTTCCTCACTGCTGCCAGCCCCCACCATCTCCGAAGGCAGCACTCCACTCCCTGATGGTCCTGGCCCCGTTCCTGCATCACATGCAGGCCCCTCATCTGAGTCCTCGCTCTCCGAGACCTCAACCGTCCGCACCTGCTACCGGCGAACCACAACACGCCCCACAAGCCACACCAAAGAACCAGTAGTAAAACTTTTTTGAATCTCACCACTGCTTTGAAGTCACAATGGGACTGAACAAAGCAACTTGTCATACTTAACGACTGTTGAAGCCTCTCCAGGGTCGCATGATCGAAATTCAGGCGCCTGGCAACCGGCTCCTATTTATGACGGTCGTAGTGTCCCAGGGTCCTGTGATCCCCTTCGGCGACCTCCTGACAAGCAACGGGGAAGCCAGATTCACTTAACAACCGTGTGACTAACAACTGCAATGATCCACTTAACAACCGTGTTACCAATAAAGCTGCAGGGATCCCCTTAACGAAAGCGTTACTATCTTAACTGCAACGGTTCACTTAGCAACTGCGGCAAGCAAGGTCGCCAAAGAGGGCAAAGCTCACTTAACAAACGCCTCACTTAGTGACAGACATTACCATTGTGGTTGTAAGTCCAGGACTACCCGTCTCCCCTTTTCAGATGATTTGTGATGTCTTCCGGTAGGGGAAAAAAATGGCTGGCTTTTATTCCTGTTTTAGAGTTTGCTGCTGCTGCTATTTGTAAGAAAATGTCTTTTTATTATTATTTTAGTTTTTTTTCGATTTTACTTTATTCTGGTTCTTTTTTATTTTTTTCCACATTGTTTTTAATTGTCTGCGAATGGCTTAGAGTCAGTGTGAGTCGGCGGCTATATAGTCGGCGGCTATATAAATTCTCTAAATAAAATAAAATAAAGAATAAATAAATAAAATTTCCCCCTTTGTCTTATGTCTGCACAGGTACATGATCCGTCGTTCTCTGGAGCAGCACGGGCTACCTTGGGCCGTAATTTCCATCCCGGTCAATGCCAGCAGTGCTCCGATTTCCGACTTCCTCCAGCCTCAGGGGATTTTTTGGTAGCCGAAAGAGGACGGAGGGAGCTGTGGAGTCCCAGAACTGGACCGAAAGGATGAAGATGACCTCCAAAGGTCACTATTTCACCCAGTCCTGCAGCTGATGGGACCACAGCATCAGTTTTGGAAGATCTCGTGTGTTGATGAAGGGAAACTGACTGGATCATGTCCTCTGGGTGGCTGCTTTTTTTTTAAAAAAAAAAAAACGGTCCAGAGAGCAGACATCCTGTGATGACCCAAAGGGGCGTGGCACAAAGGCAACACAGCCAGATAATCAGGAGGAGTCCCTTTATTAGCTCCAACTTTGCCCCCGGTGTCCTGGTTACCTTCTGGGCTAGAGAAAAACTCTCCCAGGAACAGCCTTTAACTGCAGGGAATGAAGTCCAAAACGTGGTCAACAAAAACTGTAACTATAAGTCCAATCAAGGCAAAATGAGGTCATTAGTCCGGCAGGGCAGGAGCAAGAATTCCAGACATGAAGGACCGGCAGTAACTCAATGCAGTTGGGAAGACACCAGGAACACAGTCAACACAAGATAAACTCATGTTTGTTTCCAGAGATGCCGCTTTCAGCTTGCATCTCTTTTAAACTCTCATTCCCAGCTGTGGCTAATGAAGGGAATCAGGGCCCTTTCCTCCCCTGTAAGCCATGCAACTCACGTTGCTCCCTTCTCCATTCCTCCCTGCGTGCCCTAGGATGAAGAGGGGGTGGGCCTGGGTCTTTCTCTGAATTCCATCTCTTGTTCTCCCTCTCCCCTACTCTGCCCAGCCGGACTTTGCCCTTCCCCAGTTTCCTCCCCAGCCAACGGAGCCACACTCCCGCTCCCTGTCGGCTGTTCGTCTTCCTCCTCTGATTCAAACTCCTACGGATGACACATCTGGACCGATCTGGCCCAACCAGCAAAGTCTTAAAGGCTCAAATAGGAAACCTGGATAACTGTTCAAGGTGGCTTCCTGGTGATGGTGGTTACCAGCTTTTCTCAAATCCAGGAGAATCAAGAAGTCTTCAAGAAATGTTAGGTCTGATTTTGGGGTCTCAACGGCAAGGGGCATTTAAGGAGCCCCTTTTAAATTCAGAGGCCAACCTGGTGTGTGTGTGCGTGTGTGTGTGTGTGGATTAAAGAGGCCGCGCAATTCATACTGCAGTGAGCAACGCTGCCTGAATTCACCCGACAGAACAAACTACGGCTTAATATGGGGTGCATGAAGGACAGAGATTGGACAGCCAGGACTCAGCCCAGTTTAGGGAATGGGCGGAGTGGGTGGGTGCTGTATAGCTTCAGCTACCTTTCCCAGTTGGTACTTTACTGCAACCAGATGTTCTGACCCAAACCTTGTTCCAAGGAAACAAACACCAAAGGGAGGTAACAGCAAAACCTTTGAATGATTCTTTACGAATTTTATTCCTTCACAGTTAAAAGGCTATTAAAACGAATTGTCGCTGATAATAACGAGTCTTGCCAAGGTTGTGCAAAGGCTGCCAAGAACACTAGATAAAGTTACTAAGAAAGATTTCAAAGTCCCCAAACACCAACTCAAGATATTCCAAACGTCCACAAGGCTTGAGCGCAAAAGCTTCTTTGCTTCCAGCAAAGAACTCCGGTTTCTCAGCTGTCTTTTATCCTTTAAGGGAGGGGCCATCACCTTTCAGCCTTACTTCTGAGTCGCCCGTGTAGCTGCAGCTGCTCTTTCCTTTGAGCAGCCCTGCGCGCACACGCGCTTGGCACAGGCTCCTCGGGGGACTCTTCCTCACTGCTGCCAGCCCCCACAATCTCCGAAGGCAGCACCCCAACTCTCTGATAGTCCTGACTCCATTCCTGCATCACACGCAGGCCCCTCGTCCGAGTCCTCGCTCTCCGGGACCTCAGCCACTCACACCTGCTGCCGGCGAACCACAATATCAGATTTAAGGGATCGATACACACACACACCACCAATTCAATAAGCATGATAGTTGCTCAGAAGAGTCACAGACTGGTGCAGGCAGTCCTCGACTTACGACAGTTCATTTAGTAACTGAAGTTACAGCAGCACTGAAAAAAAGTTGATTTACGACCATTTTTCATACTTACGACCGTTGCAGCATCCTCACGGTCACTTGATTCAGACTGTTGGCAACCAGCTCATAGTTATGACAATTGCAGTGTCCCGGGGGGGGGAGGGGGAAATCACATGATCCCCTTTTACGACCTTTGGATGAGTCAAGTCCCATGGGGAAGCTGGATTCGCTTAATGACGAACTTTAACAACGCCTGCGATTCACTTAATCGCTGCGGCAAAACAGGTTGCAAAATGAAGCGAGGCACTTATGTGTCTCCCTTAGCGACATGCATTTCGGATGCCGTTGTGGTCATAAGTCGAGGACTCCCTGTGTAATCCCTCTTCTCCCTCTATCCAAAAATGAAAGCTAGGAACGTGTTGCAAAGAGGACAGAGCAGGAAGGATTCATTCAGTCCCTGTATAGTAGTCCTGGACTTACGACCGCTCGTTGAGTGTCCGTTCAAAGTTACAACAGGACTTGAAAAAAGTGACTTATGACCGTTTTTCCACACTTAAAAGAGCCGTGATGGTGATCCTATGGCATGTGTGCCACAGGTGGCAAGCAGAGCTATTTGTGTGGGCACGCGAGTCCCAGCGAAACTTACCTGCCCTGCATATGCATGCACCTCCCAGCTGATTTTTGGCCTTTGAGGCCTTCCCGAGACTCAAGGGAAGGCTTTGCAGCCTTGGGAGGCCGAAAAAAATGGGCCTTCCGGAAATACTGGAAGTGCCCATTTCAGCCTCCGGAGCCTGGGATAGGCCGTTTTCGCCCTCTCAAGAGTCTCGAGGGAAACCTCTGCAGCCTTTGGAGGCCGAAAAACAGGCCTTCCGGAAATACCGGAAGTGCCGAAATGGGCTTGTTTTTCGGCCTGCAGAGGCTGCCCTCGAGCCTCCAGGAGGGCGAAAACGGTCTCAAACGGGCCAAAAATTAGTTGGGAGCCACGAGCACGTGCAGTTCAGGTAAAGGGGTGGGCAGGGGTGTTACGCACGCATGCACAGGGGGTGGAGCACACTATCGGCACGCGACAAAAAGTTTTGCCATCTCCGCTTAGGAGCATTGCCGTATCCACGCGATCAAAATCCCGGGTGCTTGGCAACTAGCACGTACTTATGACGATTGCAGGATCCCGGGGGTACGGCGTCTCACCCTTTGTGATCTTCCCAGGCAGCCTCAGACAAGCGAAGTCCAAAGCCTGATTCGTTTAATGACCGCAAGTTTCATTTAACTGCAGTGATTTACTTCGCAAATTTTGCAAAAAAAAAGAAAAATCCAGTTGCAAAATTGGGCGTGATTCGATTAACCACCAACTGGCTGAAGAACGGAAATTCTGGTTCCAATTGTGGTCGTAAGCCGAGGACTACCTGTACCTCAGGTGTAGCATGTGTATAAATCAGAGGATTTCATTTCCTGGCAGGTGGTTTTTCTCAAGCTCAGTGTCAAGTTTTAAGATGTGTGGACTTCAACTCCCAGAATTCCCCAGCCCACTGAGAGACCCTTGTCTAGCGGAAGGATGAAATTTGTTAAGGGTGGGAGGGAGGGAGAAAGGAAAGATAGATGGGAAAAGGAAGAAAAGGAAGAGGGAAGGAAAGAAAGAGTGAAGGAGACAGAGAAATGTGCGGAGGTGGGGAAGGAAAAGAAGGGAAAAAGGAAAGGAAGGAAGGGAGAGAAGACGGGAAAAGGAAGAGAAGAAAGGAAGAGGGAAGGAAAGA